TCATGATCGAGTAATAACCGTCTGTCTCTGTTCACATTTATTCTGCAGGAAAAGGCTTAAATAAAAGTAATTATGGAAGATATTTTCAGATATTTCATAGAAGCTTTAGTGTTTTTCATATTGTAAATGCAGCCGGACACAGTCGGACACAGCATCAAAAAGAAACTAGTTTAAAATCCATCTTTAGCTTTGTGATTCTGACTTTAGAATAATATAGAAGTATAAAATCTCTACCTTTTTAGTTGCAGCTCTATATAAAATGTTTTCTAATGTGGACAAACGACAGAAGATTCTTGGTCAAAAACACTTCAGACTTTTCGACTTCTCCGGTGTCTAGACTTCATTTTAAAACCTGCGTCTTTCCCTTGGTTCTGTTCTTTCCAGGTGCGCAGTGCTAACTACGAGTCGGACCCGTTCGTGCAGGAGTTCCAGTTCCGGGTCCGTGATGAGATGGCTCAGGTGACGGGCCGCGTGCTGCCGGCCCCCATGCTGCAGTACGGCGGCAGGGTGAGCTCTGAGCCCTTCATGGTACCGCTCCTTTAATCACGCTTCTTTTACACTGTCTGTCTGCGCACTACACCGAGAACTGGATAAACAAGTCTGAGAGTCCTGCAGAAGAAAGGCAGCCACGCTCAACTAAGAACAGCTATGGCATTTGGCAATTTTTCTTTAAAAAATGGTTTAAATGGGAAAAGATAAATAACGTAAATATTGTACAAACAGCTGGATATAGATCTGTCCTTGACCTAAAAACTACACATTGATAAAGCGTTGGTTTGGACTTTTTTAATCTTGCTTGAATCTCAAAGTAATACCATATTTTTCAGCAGATTTGTTTTATGGATGAATTTTTGGAAGCTGTCAACTAATAAATCACATCAGACCAGCAGCTCATGCTTAAGGCCAAAGAACTTGATTTGCAGGTTTCTTAAACACTTTTCTCACGCTCCAATATTCTGAAATTCTTAAAGACTAAAGTAATTTTTAATTGCCATATTGAATATATTTTTTCTCAGTGCCACTTCAGTCTAAGGCTCTAAAGTCAAGAGAAAATGCAAGGACTTTATTATACTTTATTAACTCACAATGAGATTAAAAGATCCTTTATCTGTCCCAGAGTGGGGACATTTCAGTGTTGCATCACACGTTATAGAACAGCACGAGCAGTGAATGGAGAAACTCAGTAGGACTTCAGAAGTTCCTTTTTGTCATTTGTCTTTCCACCGTTGGCACCGCCTTTAGCATGTGCATGTCGCAGTAACCTTCACCCTCCTGATCCACGTTAACGTCCTGAATATCACCTGCATTACGTGTTCACCATGACACGGCTCACACCATCAGAGGAGGAGTTGTATGTGTCCGTGTCAGAGTCGCTCTCAGCAGATCAGCCTACACTGGTGTTTTCAGAACCGCACTGTGGCCACGCCCAGTCACGGCGTCTGGGACATGAGGGGGAAGCAGTTCCACACCGGAGTGGAGATCAAGATGTGGGCCATCGCCTGCTTCGCCACGCAGCGCCAGTGCAGAGAGGAGATCCTCAAGTGAGTGCAGACTGGTTCAATGTGGGTAAAGGTGGATACAGTATAAGGTCTGGTCAGGTATTGTTATAGAGACGGAGAGATGCTTAGATACTTGGATAGAAAGATAGAATGATAGATGCTTCATTGATCCCTGTTGGAGAAATGCAGGTGTCCAGTGGAAACACATCCAAACAAACAAAATAAAAACATTGATTATTCTAAAAGTATCTAACCATAATAATAAAATACAACAGTCCTTCCTCCAGTGGATTTTCTCCTGATCCACTTGGTTTGGACCATGAATCCTCTCTGCTCTGGTCTGGACCAGTGTAAAACCATGAATCCTCTCTGCTCTGGTCTGGACCAGTGTAAAACCATGAATCCTCTCTGCTCTGGTCTGGACCAGTGTAAAACCATGAATCCTCTCTGCTCTGGTCTGGACCAGTGTAAAACCATGAATCCTCTCTGCTCGGTCTGGACCAGTGTAAAACCATGAATCCTCTCTGCTCTGGTCTGGACCAGTGTAAAACCATGAATCCTCTCTGCTCGGGTCTGGACCAGTGTAAAACCATGAATCCTCTCTGCTCTGGTCTGGACCAGTGTAAAACCATGAATCCTCTCTGCTCGGGTCTGGACCAGTGTAAAACCATGAATCCTCTCTGCTCGGGTCTGGACCAGTGTAAAACCATGAATCCTCTCTGCTCTGGTCTGGACCAGTGTAAAACCATGAATCCTCTCTGCTCGGGTCTGGACCAGTGTAAAACCATGAATCCTCTCTGCTCTGGTCTGGACCAGTGTAAAACCATGAATCCTCTCTGCTCTGGTCTGGACCAGTGTAAAACCATGAATCCTCTCTGCTCGGTCTGGACCAGTGTAAAACCATGAATCCTCTCTGCTCGGGTCTGGACCAGTGTAAAACCATGAATCCTCTCTGCTCTGGTCTGGACCAGTGTAAAACCATGAATCCTCTCTGCTCGGGTCTGGACCAGTGTAAAACCATGAATCCTCTCTGCTCTGGTCTGGACCAGTGTAAAACCATGAATCCTCTCTGCTCTGGTCTGGACCAGTGTAAAACCATGAATCCTCTCTGCTCTGGTCTGGACCAGTGTAAAACCATGAATCCTCTCTGCTCGGGTCTGGACCAGTGTAAAACCATGAATCCTCTCTGCTCGGGTCTGGACCAGTGTAAAACCATGAATCCTCTCTGCTCTGGTCTGGACCAGTGTAAAACCATGAATCCTCTCTGCTCGGGTCTGGACCAGTGTAAAACCATGAATCCTCTCTGCTCGGGTCTGGACCAGTGTAAAACCATGAATCCTCTCTGCTCTGGTCTGGACCAGTGTAAAACCATGAATCCTCTCTGCTCTGGTCTGGACCAGTGTAAAACCATGAATCCTCTCTGCTCTGGTCTGGACCAGTGTAAAACCATGAATCCTCTCTGCTCTGGTCTGGACCAGTGTAAAACCATGAATCCTCTCTGCTCTGGTCTGGACCAGTGTAAAACCATGAATCCTCTCTGCTCGGGTCTGGACCAGTGTAAAACCATGAATCCTCTCTGCTCGGGTCTGGACCAGTGTAAAACCATGAATCCTCTCTGCTCTGGTCTGGACCAGTGTAAAACCATGAATCCTCTCTGCTCTGGTCTGGACCAGTGTAAAACCATGAATCCTCTCTGCTCGGGTCTGGACCAGTGTAAAACCCTTAACACTGTACTGCAGCAACATCTCAGGCAGAGTCCTAAGTGTCTCAGAAACATTTAAAATAGACAAATTACATGTTATCTGTAAGGGATTGGATTACTGAAGTCTGCAAAGTTATTTAGCCAAAAAGACTTCAATTGTGCTTATTTTCTGCAATAAAAAACAGATTCATTAACTTAAGCTTTAAGCGTGAAAATATAGTGAAGTGGATCCCAAGATATTGCTCTGTTGCCACAGTCGTGATGAGTCGGACTGTCTGCCTCTGCCCATGTTGTATGTAAAGTGTGTGTTTATTTTTTGTGGAGATGGGGTCACAGTAATTGTCTTAATATATTTGTCGTCTTGTGTGGTTCATTTATTAAATAGTATGATATTCTGTGTGTAGTCAGTCCTTGTGACACCTTTGTCCCTGCAGGAGCTTCACGGACCAGCTGAGGAAGATCTCTAAGGATGCTGGGATGCCAATCCAGGGCCAGCCGTGCTTCTGTAAATACGCTCAGGGCGCAGACAGCGTCGAACCCATGTTCAGACACCTCAAAAACACGTACGCGGGACTTCAGCTCATCATCGTCATCCTGCCGGGAAAGACCCCAGTCTACGGTAACACGCACACACACTGACACACACTGACACACACAGACACTAACACACTGACACACACTGACACAAACACACTGACACAAACACACTGACACACACACTGACACACACACTGACACTAACACACTGACACACACACTGACACACACACTGACAGACACACAGACACACAGACTCTGGGCCTCGCTACAGAGACTTAAAATGTGTCTGTAATTTATCTGTCGTTAAGAAGCAGCTCCACTTAAACAGAACTCTGAAGCTAAGCAGGGCATGGCCTGGTTAGTACTGTGATGGGAGACGGGTGCCACAGTGGGGCGGCTGTAAAGTGCCTGTTGTGTCCATGGGCCAGACTCTTCACCCACATTGCCGTGGGTCTGTGAGAAAGATGCACAGACTGGTTGCCTCGCTTCTGTCAGTGTGCCCAGGGCAGCTGTGGCTACAGTAGTAGTACAGCAGTTTCAACAACATCTAGGGACATTTATCAACACTTATGGACTCTGGTGTACAGACCGATGGCTTGGGCAACACAGTGGCTGAGTAGTTAGCACTCTTGCTTCTCAGAAAGAAGGTCCTGGGTTCCAATCCCGGTCGGAACAGGACCTACCTGTATAGGTTTCCTCCAGGTGCTCCGGTTTCCCCTACCACTAAAAACATGTACAATAGTCTGAATGTAATGAGTGAATGGATGGTGTTTGGTCTGAGGCTTTGATGGACCAGTGTGTTCTGGTCTCTGTGTGTAAATGGAAAAATATCTGATTTCGGAACATTGTAAAGAGCTTTGGGTTCCTGGGTCTGTAAGATGTGCTATATAAGTAAACATTACGTACTTGGTCATCTTATGGACCCTTTACCAATGTGTTTTATTGTTATTCTTGTGTTTGATTCTGTATCGGCGAATTCAAGTGTTGTGTAAAGTCCTCTGCGATAACTACTGTTGTGATTTAGGGCGATACAAGAATGAATTTAATTATTAGTTAATTAATTTGCTCCATACAGAGTGATGATATGTCACGTGAAGCGTCTTTTAGTGTCCAAAAAAGTGTCTAAAACCACTAATAATTTAAAGCAGGGGTCCCTAACTTTCAAAGCTCAAAATCTGATAGGCTAAGTGTAAATTTGAATACAGTCTTGAAAGTGAGTTGTGCAAACGTCCTGTTCTCTGCACAGCTGAAGTGAAGCGAGTGGGAGACACGCTGCTGGGCATGGCCACTCAGTGCGTTCAGGTGAAGAACGTGGTGAAGACGTCGCCTCAGACTCTGTCCAACCTCTGCCTCAAAATCAACGTCAAACTGGGAGGAATCAACAACATCCTGGTCCCACATCAACGGTAACAACACTGCAGAACATTCCCTCAGGCGGCACTCAGACATGTCCCACAGCGGGGTCCGCAACAAGCAACTTACAGTTTTAATATTGATTTGAATATTTTCATCTGAAATATTCTCAATTTAATATTTAAATTGGTCAAATGTAAAGTAATTCATAATATGTTTTTCAGTCTTTTCTAATTTCAGTTTTAATGTAACTTACAGCTGTATACACTCCTCCTACAGCTGTATATGCCCCTCCTGCAGCTGTATACGCCCCTCCTGCAGCTGTATACACTCCTCCTGCAGCTGTATACGCCCCTCCTGCAGCTGTATACGCCCCTCCTGCAGCTGTATACGCCCCTCCTGCAGCTGTATACGCCCCTCCTGCAGCTGTATACACTCCTCCTGCAGCTGTATACGCCCCTCCTGCAGCTGTATACGCCCCTCCTGCAGCTGTATACGCCCCTCCTGCAGCTGTGTATACGCCCCTCCTGCAGCTGTGTACACGCCCCTCCTGCAGCTGTATACGCCCCTCCTGCAGCTGTATACGCCCCTCCTGCAGCTGTGTATACGCTCCTCCTGCAGCTGTGTACACGCCCCTCCTGCAGCTGTATACGCCCCTCCTGCAGCTGTATACGCCCCTCCTGCAGCTGTGTATACGCCCCTCCTGCAGCTGTGTACACGCCCCTCCTGCAGTTGTGTACACGCCCCTCCTGCAGCTGTATACGCCCCTCCTGCAGCTGTATACTAACCAGTCTTCTCTCTCCAGTCCTTCAGTTTTCCAGCAGCCAATCATCTTCCTCGGAGCGGACGTCACTCACCCTCCTGCAGGAGATGGGAAGAAGCCTTCCATCGCAGCGGTGAGTCCAGGGTCTACAGCGGGTCCAGGGTCTAGAGCAGTGCCTGAAGTAGAAATATGAAAGAATTATTTTGTTGAATATATCGGGTAATTTAGTTTATTTTGTGCTAATTGAGTTTGATGTCAAAGGAAGTAATGTGTGTGTGTGTCCTGACGTGTGTGTGTATGTGTGTGTGTCCTGACGTGTTTGTGTGTCTCTTGACGTGTGTGTGTGTCTCTTGACGTGTGTGTGTGTGTCTCCTGACGTGTGTGTGTCTCCTGACGTGTGTGTGTATGTGTGTGTCCTGACGTGTGTGTGTGTCTCTTGACGTGTGTGTGTGTCTCTTGACGTGTGTGTGTGTCTCCTGACGTGTGTGTGTCTCCTGACGTGTGTGTGTCTACTGGCATGTGTCTAGTGGCGTGTCGATACATGACCTGTGTCGCCCCCTGCAGGTGGTGGGTAGTATGGACGCCCATCCCAGCCGGTACTGTGCCACGGTGCGGGTGCAGAGGCCCAGGCAGGAGATCATCCAGGACCTGGCCTCCATGATCCGAGAGCTGCTAATCCAGTTCTACAAGTCCACCAGATACAAACCCACACGCATCATCTTCTACCGCGATGGAGTGTCGGAGGGACAGTTCAGACAGGTGCCCCATGCAGGCCGACATGTACCTGTGTGTGTCCTATACATACATACAGTATGTATAGGACACACACATACTCATACATATACTTCACGTGCTTCATAACGGATACAGACACTGGTACAGATAACCAGTGTTACTCAAACTTACTTTAGTGTAGCTCTAAATAAAAACACTGGTTATGTCACTGTTATGGATTCTTTCTTTGGTGAATCAATAGATACAGAGACACACTTTACATGAACCCACTGCTGATCCTGATGAGCAGCTGTCAAAGACCCACTGCACACCTCATGTTGTTCTTTACCTTGATGTAAACTTGTGAATCTAAAGCCGTTCCCTCGTCCAGGTGCTGTACTACGAGTTGTTGGCGATCCGCGAGGCCTGTATCAGTCTGGAGAAGGACTACCAGCCGGGGATCACCTACATCGTGGTTCAGAAACGTCACCACACCAGACTCTTCTGTGCCGACCGCAACGAGAGGGTGAGGACCTCGTTGGTTTTGAGTCTTTCTCACATTGCTCCGTCCATCCACCCATTCTCCTCTTCCCCATAATCCATTTCTGGTATTGGGGGTGTCAGTCAGAGCTGCACCCGGTCCACAGAGCAGCAGTCTCTGAACGTAGCTCCATCCAAGCTAATGTCACACGTGTTGCCCCGCCCCATCTCGCCATATTCTCCTTTTCAAACTAATGAACAGATGTGTTTTCCCGCAGGTCGGTCGCAGTGGGAACATTCCTGCCGGGACCACGGTGGACACAGACATCACCCATCCATACGAGTTTGACTTTTACCTCTGTAGCCACGCGGGCATCCAGGTAACACTTCAAACACTTCAAACACTTCCATTGTTATTCTCTAAAAGGTGACGTTCATGTGACATCACAACATCTCAAAGTTTAAACTATGGTTATTGTCAAAAGTCAGACTTCTAGAATTTAGAGCTAATTTATTTTTTATATAAACTATACAGTATTTGGTGTATTCTGCTTCTTAAGTTAAATATAGAGATTTTATTTTTAAAGTCAAAGCAATAGTGAAATCGAATGAAATGAAAGATTGGGAAAAATGTGAAAATAACTACCGGTGCAATAAAAAATGAAGAAAAATAATTTTGTAAACACCCATCCATCCATTTTCTTCCCCTTGATCCATGTCTGGGTCGGGGGTGGCAGTCAGAGCACCAGCCCCTCACTGATCCTCCTGCAGCTGCTGAGTCCACAGGAGCTGAGATCTTTCAGTGGGGGCTTCAGGCAAAGTGGGGTTAAGTGTCTTGCCCAAGGACACAACAACAGCAGTCATCAGTGGGAGTCGTGGAGGTCTAATGGTGGTCTTTGAGCCTGAAGGTTGTGGGTTCAATTCCAACGCTCTACCGACTGAGCCACTGTCGCCCCAATTTATAAAAAAATAAAATAAAAAAATATATCAACAGGTTGAAGTCCATCTTACTTATTTTCTATATAATTTGTCCATGTTTTAAGAAAGAGGAAAGATAAGATTTCTGCTTTCTTTCGTTTGTGACAAAACTACAGTTATACGAAATATAAAATGTGATGTATTTTCATGTCCACAATAGAAACAAAGGAGACATTTACAACATGAACCAACCAACTGATCTTCTTCATCTTCTTCTTCCTCTCGTTCCGCAGGGCACCAGTCGGCCCTCTCACTACCACGTGCTCTGGGACGATAACTGCTTCACTGCGGACGAGTTCCAGCTGCTCACGTACCAGCTGTGCCACACGTATGTTCGCTGCACGCGCTCCGTGTCCATCCCCGCCCCCGCCTACTACGCCCACCTGGTGGCCTTCAGGGCGCGGTACCACCTGGTGGACAAGGAGCACGACAGGTGAGACCCAACCCGCCCCAAACTCTTCACTATAGACAGACATGGATTAAATCAGTGCTGAAGCTGGAGCACCTGTGTTAGTTTGGAAGTGATATTTATTTATATAGCACATGTTTTTACAGATCAAGGGCAAAGCTCGGATCTGTTCACATTTGTTTCCTCGTGAGAAATGTGACAGTCCTTTTATCTTTTCTCATTTTACCTTTATTGTCTGAGAGATGATTGGCTGAAAGTGCTTTTACTGAAAGATGAGGCAGAAATCCAGTCATGTAGAAACATAACTAAGTACACTGCAAAAAATGATAAAATATGAATAATAAAAGCTTGAATCCAGTGTTTTTATCTTTTTCTGACACATGCTTACTGTGTTAAACAAAGATTCTCTAATGAGACAAAGTCATTTAGTCTGATTTCAAAAACTGCTTTATTTCTTCATTCCAAAGGAGACGTTTCTTCCATCCATACATTTTCTTTTCCTTAAAAAAAAAACATGACCTAGAAATTGTTTAAAGATCTTTCTTGTATCTTCATTTTCTTTGATCCTTTTGGCAAATCTTGTTTTAAGGCTCAGACAGAATGTGTTCAAATTTAGATTTTTGCAGTGTAACTAGTTTCATTGATTTTATTGCAAAGTTGATGTTTGTGGTTTAAAAGTGCAGATCTCCAGCTTTAAAGAACCAAAACTATGTTGGAGTAAACTGAAATACACAGCACAGTTGAAATATACAGGGTTTCATTCCAACCAAGCAGGAGCACGCACCAGACTCCACCCATTTCCTCAAGTCTTCAGGTTTTAGACTAGACTTGAGGAAGTGGGTGTGGTCTGGTCTGCTCCTGCTTGGTTTGGAATGAAACCCTGCAGCCACACCGGCCCTTTGAGGACTGGTTCGACAGCTCTGATCCATGTTTTACTGTGACATCACCCTTTTCAGTGTCTACAGGTGCAAATAACTCCTGCTACAGTCCAGTCTGGCCTCTCCTTTGGTTAAAGTTTATTGTACACTGTAAATACAAATCCATCCATGCTTTATATATAACATAATATTAAACAGCCTTAGTATTTGTCATCTGTAAGTTCACATAATCGTCCTTTTTCCGCTCCCCAGTGCTGAGGGCAGTCACGTCTCGGGGCAGAGTAACGGCAGAGACCCCCAGGCCCTGGCCAAAGCCGTTCAGATCCACCACGACACCCTGCGGACCATGTACTTTGCCTGAGACCCTCCGAGACCAGACCAGTCCCGCGGGAACCGGACCGGGTCTACCCCTCACCTCTGCCTCTGCGCTGGTGCTGTATTGATCCACAAGGGGGCGACGAGAAAAGCCAGAGAGGAGTATAGCCACAATATGCAACGAAACCAGCTAACTGCCTCTGTGTGAACGCCATGTATCAGGATATCCGCGTTTTCTGCATTTCTTCTTACACCCACGTTTTAAAGCTGCGCAAAGTTGTGTGTTTTTATTTATAGATTTCAAAACGTTTTTTAGGAAAGTGTCAGGAAATGCGGGTGTTGACGCGGTCCATGGCAGGAGAAGGTAGCGGCCGCAGTGACTTGCCTCACGTTGAGCCTAAAAGACGCTGGTCGAAAACTGTAGACAGATTTACATTTGTGTTTGTGCGTCCAAACTGTGACCGTGTGGGTTTGACGGAGAGTGTGTGTATGCCATGGCAAAGCACCCTGTTAAGACAAGAAGCTCCCATAGACCAGGAACGAAACTGGACTGAAAAGATAGTGGTAGATGTAATATTGAATGGCAGTGGATTAAAATCATTTTTAACGATTTCTTTTTATACATAGAGCACTTTTATGTCGTCATCTTTTAAGGCAAATCAAACGCAACTGTCTAATCCTTCATCCTTTTAACAAGTAGCAGTAGCAATTCATTAGCTTCTCAACTGCAGGTTTTTACTGTGTTTTTATTCTGCGGGTTATTTTCAAAATAAAGCAAACGTAATTTTATCTTCTCAATGACCATAGTTTAAAACATTTGAATTAAATTATTGCGTTTTAAGTAAATACAAAAACTCTTTCCAATTTCTGGCCGTGGTCTGAACTGGTGCAAAGTCATGGCCAGTTTTCGGCACCAGCTTCCAGATTGTTTTTGAGGGAAAACTGCTAAAACTGGTTCTGAAATGGGATCCAGCCCCAGCCTGGTGTAAAAAATGTTTTATTTGTTATAGATTTAAACCACACAATACCTGTGTGAATGTTGACCCTACTCCCTGACTGCACTGTTGTGGGTCACACTGTTACTATAGTGAGCACTGCTCCACAATCTTGAAAAGCTCTGGACACAAGATTGTAAACGATCATTTAGAGACGGCACAGAATGGAATGGAAACGATCGGGGAATAGGGTCCAAATGGGACGTGTCTAATTGAGATCATATTTTTACGGCTTTTCTTGGACCAAAAAGCTCTGTTTCAAATGGGTTAAAAGTAGATTTTAAATGAAACTAATCTTAACAGTGCGTGTTCTGTACTTTTGAGCTTCAACAAACGCTAAAACTTTTCTCTCCAGTTTTCATCACTTGATCTATGGGAGCTTTCTTGAAACGCAACATTGCCCTTTAACTAATTCCTGTATTTTAAATTGTGGCTTGTCATTTTTTGCCTCTTTTTAAAAAGCCAAGAGCGACTTGAAAAGCCACGACACAGTATAAGGCCTAAAACTGCACAAAACTATGAAATAATTGAACCAAAACCTTCAGCCATTTATTATTTTACTCAATGTGCGAATGAATTGATGCCATTGGCTGTGATATTATTATTATAAAGTCTATCTTGGTACAAAGTTTAACCAATCATGTGTATATTTTACTGTTCTTTGCTATTTATTTCTTTTAAATTAAGTTTCAGCAATACAATATAGCAACCTGCTTTTTATCACCACCGTTTTTAGACATGTTTTTGCCATTTCTGTCGACCAAGTTATGAACATAGCCCTACACAGTGCAATAAAAAGTGAAGATCTATGAAAATATATGACCTGAAATAATAGTACATAAACGTTTATTTAGCTGTGGGAAGAAATCGGTTTGTTGAGAGTTTTGAAAAGTGACGATGGAGGGACGCGACCGGGTTGTGTGGGATTGGGGACGCATTTGGAGAAATCACAAGAAGTGCCTGAAAAGTTGATTTTGAAAAGGCATCGACAGCGGTTTGGTGCCTCTTGTGTTGAAATAATACTTGTTTATAGAGTAAAAGTTATGTTTATGAATAATATTAGTACTTAACCAGACACTATATGTTTAATACATGTTTGTTGTATAGACAATGCAAACGTTATTGTCAAGCTTACATATACTAAATCTCTATTTGAAGAGTTTAAAGCTGTCGTAGCGTAGCATTAGCAGCACTTTGATAGTCCACAGTAGAAAAACAGAATTTTAATACTTTTATGAGAATATTAGTTGCATATATGGGATTAAGACGGTTTGATTTCTAAATGTAGGCTGGCTTCATATGCCTTTTATTGTTGGAAAAACCTTTTCAGATGACCTACAGAACTGTGTGTTCAGGCCTGTCACAAAAACTCACTTTGATGAGAGGAAATTATAGCAATAAACGTTAATATTCAAAGTTACTGATCAAGTACAGCACAGTCTGATGATCCCGAGTTTGTTTTATCGACTTCAGTCAAAAGTCCTGCTTTACTTTGGCCAAGAAAAGGTACAGACCATAAATATTGAGCCCAAAAGATGTTTTTTTTTTCCATAAATTTGCAGCATGATAAAGAACAGACTGGTGGTAATTGTGACAGGCCGACATGCTTTTAACCAGAGATTTCATTTAAATGATCAAGTTCACTGCTTCTTCTATACCTGACAAATAAGATGGCGATGTTGTGTTGTCCGGAAAAACCAAATAACAACTAAGACTAGAGGACTCTTCCTAAACTAGTCACAGATGTTAATCCTAGTGCTTTACCTTCGCCTGCAAAAATTAAAGGTCACGTTCAATCGTTTTAGTTTTTTCTAATAATGAAATGAACTTAAAATCAAACCCTAGACTTTGATCAGACATTGGACAATAAATCTAATCACTTGAATCTCACTGTAAGACGTTGGTATTTGCTTGAATTATGCAAACTCTGGAGGGAAGCCCCAGAATTGTAAAATCAAGTGTAAATGGTATTAAACAGGATGGAGTTAAATTCAAAGCCTTTAAAGTTTTTCTTTCATTGGTGCCATAACATTTTCTCTAAACAGCACTTAAAGTATTAAAAAAACGTAGGCACAGTCCCTTTAAAATCTCTTTATTTGAAACGATATCTTAATCTTTGTGTTCCGGACACAGTCAACATGAACAAATCATACTATGGTCTGTTTTGATCAATATCTTAGTTCTCAAAATCAACATAATAATAATAATAACACCACATATGATACATTGTATTTAACACAGCTGACATCAGGGAAAACAGACGTGTTTGTAGTAACTTCACACGAGTGAGAGAAAAAACCATTTATAAAACCATATGGACGGTTCCTTTTCAGAATGACTTGGAACACGCTGATAATGTCTTGTTTTACTTTTAAAGACGGACATTTCTCTCTGGAATCGAGAATTCAAGCAAATATGAACGGTTTTCAGCAGTGACATCATCAGAATAAAATCTGTGGTTAAAGGTAAGAATAAACAAAACAAACTGCATCTAAATGTACCTGTTTGAACAACAGTAAACCTCTTTATTGAGAATAATTATCTAAACATATATTGGTTTAATTACATATTTGCAATAAGAAAAGTGCTGTACGACCCCTAATGTCTGGACTGCTTATTACTATCTCAGAGTCAGATCTGTGCGAGCGGCTCAGCACTAAAGTGCACTTGACGCTTTTAATTTATCATTTTTAGATTCGTACCATTTTAAGAGTAAATGTTATTTTTAAATCAACAGTTTAAGGAGAAAAGTTGAAAAGGTCAAACTTTAAGTTCAAGTATGACATCACAGTTGGGGGTTTGAGAAAAAATGACCCAATTTACAATCAAAACATTTTTCCTTAAATACTAATTCATATTTTGTCTCAAATTCTAACTTTGCTAAAGCTCCTTGTGTGAGTTGTCAACTTTAAACCTGCAGAAAACAACTATTACATAAACTAAGCTGCTGTTGGCAGAGAAAGTTCATGATTATGCTAATGTATGCTAACGTTGTCTTAAGTTAGAACAACATATAATATAAAAACAAAGCTGCTGTTAGCATGACGTTAGCGTACATTAGCCTACAGTTAGCATAATTGTAAGCTATTTCTATGCCAAGTTTGAACAACGATATGAAATAAAAATGATGCTAAACCAAACGGCTGCTAGCATAACGTTAGCATGACGTCAGCAATGTTAGTTTAGCCCTGTGGTCAACTATATGAAATACAATAATTGACACTAAAGAAAAAAGCTGTTAGCACAAGGTTAGCATACGATTAGCTTAGTTAGCATAACGCTAGCTCACAATATAAATTCTATCCTGGAACATTGTATTTATGTTGTTTTGCCCAAATTACACAAAAATCAAGAGAATTGTTGATCTTTGAGCCTGAAGTGAGAAAGCACTTAAATAACATTATTATTCATTGCAGAGTGAAAAACAATTATAAGATTACTTCATACTAGTAATTTAAATTTAACACAACAAAAAGCAGCAGAAGTCCAGTAATTGTTAAATTTGTCATAAAACCTGAAACATAATGAACATAAATGACTGCGTTTGAAGAGTTTGTCATTTGCACTTTAATGCCATGTTGGAAACGGTGCTGTCCTTGTGATCCCAGTGGGTTTTTGGGTTGGTAATAATAGAAAAGGCGCTGCGTGTCTGGACCAAACCGAGCGTGCCTACTGTGGTCCGAGAATATACAGTACTACTACAGATATATGTATAAATGTACACACTGCACTTACAGATGGAGAGCAGCTAAGATGGTGCTAGATTTCTGTTCGTAAAAATGTTCAGTGGCTTCTAAATGTATAAATACGACTGTTCTTGTGTGTTTTGAAGTGAGGTTGTTGGTTTCAGAGGTTTTGTTTCTCGATGATGCCTTAAGCTGCTCTTAAGGCTAAATGAAGAGTCTGAAATGCAATGTACCAACCAATTCCTTGTAACTTTGATTAATATTGAACTAAATTACACTATATTTGTGTTGTGTGGAAGGCAGATCTCCTTTTTAACATGATTGGGGAATGCTAACAGTTTTTATTTTATATTAAAGGACCGTAT